ATAAGACTAGAATTACTTTATGTACTATTTAGGTTCAGTGCTTGGTCTGTGACCAGCAGCTGGCCTACAACAACAACACCTCATCGATGCTGAGGCATTTCCGTGCTAAGCACGATGCGGTCCCATCTATGAGTACAATGACAGTGAATCCAAGCATTTATGGTATGGACATCAACTGTCAATCAGTCATTCATTCATGTCTCACATCACTAGCACAAAATGTCACTAATTGCGTTTGACTTCACTTTTTGGGTGAGAGGATGCACTGGTTAGTGGTTCTTCCGCTTCCTATGAAATGTCCGCAGGCTATTGGTAAGATGGGAGACCCATTTACTTGATCCCACAACACATAATGACTATTGAACTACCTGCGAATAATGGCATTAAAGCCTAATCAACTTATACAACACAGTTAAGCCTATTTTTATCCTCATATTCAAATGTTTTTGTGTATTGAAGGGATCATGAACACAAAGACCACTCAGGTGGTCGATGCTGCTTTGGTGAACATGATCGTGAAGGACTCGCAGCCCTTTTCCATTGTTGACGACGCTGGTTTCAGACAGTTTGTTGGTGTCTTGGACCCAACCTACACAATCCCCACCAGAAAGGCTCTAAAGGAAATGGTGGCGGAAAAGTTCAAAGAGGAAAAGGAGAAAGCAAAGAGAGAAGTGGAGAAGGCTACAGCTGTCAGTCTCACCAGTGACATGTGGACATCCATTCATATGGATGCCTACTTGGCTGTGACATGTCATTTTGTCAATGAACAAGATACACTGTCCACAGTGTTGCTAGGAGTGGGACATTTCTCCAAGGCACATACAGCAGAAAATATTGCTGAGGTGAAAAAGGTTTTGATGGAGGAGTGGGGCATCCAAAATAAAGTCAGATGCCTCGTCACTGATGCAGCACCAAACATGATTTCCTCATCTAAAATATTGAAAGTGCGCCACACAAAGTGCATTGCACATACTCTGAACCTCATTGTGAGAAAATCAATTGACAACACGCCTGGGCTTGAGGAGATCAGAGGTAAGGCTTGTAAAATGGTAAGCTATTTCCGATCTAGCGCAACAGCAAAGGAGAAGCTCTGCCAAATGCAGCAGCAGATGGGCAGAGCACATCTAAAGCTCCTTCAGGAGGTTGACACCAGGTGGAACAGCACATACACCATGCTGCAGCGTCTGTATGAGGAGAGAGAGACAGTTAGTGCTGCCCTTGTCTCAATGGGAACAGATCTCACACCTGTCACTGCTGAGGAGTACCTCTCAGTTAAAGAGTGCCTGGAGGTGCTTTCTCCTTTTTACACAGCCACTACTGAACTTTCTGGAGAGCAGAGAGTATCTGGGTCCAAAGTCATTCCACTTGTCTACATGCTGCGGTATGCAATTGCTAAAAAAAAAAAAAAGAAGTTCTGGATGACAAAGCCCGCCAGCTGTGCATGAACCTCACAAGAATGCTGGGTGAATGTTCGTCTTACTTGGAAACAATGAGTGTAATGACCATTGCTACCCTGCTTGATCCAAGATTCAAGGCTGTGGGGTTTTGCAGTCAGACCAATGCTCAAGCTGCAGTGAGACGTCTGACTGCAGAATGTGCCACCATCATTGAAAATGAAAAAGACCAGATAATGCCTGTCCCTCCTGTCCCATCTACCTCGTCACAGCCAGAGCCAGCAACCAGTTCTGCAACTCAGTCAGGTATGGCTTTTGTTGACCTGAAGTCCATAACACAATGACAGCATATTCTAAAAATGTCTCAACAGTAAGAATATGTTTTAATATCCCAGTTTCAATTCTGTTATTGGAAATATGTGACTACAAGAAGTTTTTTTAACAAAACTAAAATCTGTTTGTCAAAATATACATTTCATTAGATATCTTTAGTATCACTTACATTTGAATATTCACATTTGATGTAATGAGTGAACCAAAAATATTTCATTTTAAAATACATCTGAAAATGCTATTCTACAAAATGTGCAGCTATTTAATTTCATTAGTCTTTTAGGTGATGGTCTGTGGGATTTGCTGGACAGCCATATGGTGGAGAGGCAGGTGAGGAATGCCACAGCAGATGCCACAGTGG